GCCCTCACCGATAGTCTTCAATCATGCATCTGAGGAGGCTGAATCTCAGAGTTCAGCATCTTCGGATGCAATCCTGATGAGGATTGAGGAGCCGAGGCAGATCCATGAGTCAATGAACCAGGAGGTGCAACAGCATGAGCCTCAAGTCACAGATAAACAGAGGTCCCCCATGGCTGTGAAGCCCATAGAGGAAGGACATACAGAGTCTTCACAGGGATCTGCAGTTTCAGCATCACTGCCTGTCTCCAGCAGCCAGACTGAACATGTGTCCTTCAGAATGTTTACTGCAAAATGTGCTTTGACCACAAGTTCTCTGCCAATGGACAAAAAGTTTAGTGACATCCTTATGGAGCGGAGGCAGAAGTGGAAGGAGGAGTTACGTAGACAGAAGCGGCAGCAGAGATCCCCAAATTCACCACAGGGAACACCTGTAACTGTAAGTCAACTTTCATTTCTGTCCATATAATTTAGACTTACTTAAAAATATATAGAATTTAATGTTTTCTGCGTGCTTATTTGAAATATGGATGATTAACATGGAGTTGAATTTTCATCAAGGTTGTGATAGGTTTGCTATTTGAAATTAGTTTTTGTTTTGATATTATTGTACTTTTGGTGTAAATTTTTGTTTAGTTGGTTTGATTAAAGATTACGTTAGTTTTAGTTTTTATTTCGTGAACACGTTTCTAATTTTATATATATTTAGTTTCAGTTTTAGTCATAATAGTTTATCAGAGTTTGCAGAATATGTCCAGTATTGAGCAAAGTTTAGTGTTTCCACAACTAACATTAACCCCTTGCAAAAATCTTACTCATAAGAATAAAAATATTGCTTGAACAGACACTGAACCCAAAAACACAACTTAAATTAATAAAAGTAAAAACTTCTTTATATCAAAAATAATGTAGTTAAACATGTCTGTTTTACCTTTTTTGGCAAATGAAGAAAAAAATGAATCTGTTTATAGAAAATATGTTTTGCTATATATTAATGCACTTGACTGTTGTTTTTTAGCTCTAAAATCCTAATCTACAGGTGTTTTTGCATAAAATTAGTGATTCTTAATTCTGAAAATGATTATTATTTTGCTATTTATTATTTTATTTCGGTTACACCCTGTAGATTTCAGTTCATGTTGTTAGTTTCTATTACTTTATTTCACTTTAACAAAAAATTAGTTTTTTGGCCAATAGTTTTTTTCTTGGTTTTACTTTTTGTTCACTAAAATATCATTGATTTTCACTGTCACACTTGAAAATTATTACAAAAACAGTGAATGGTTAAACATTTCTTTTTATTCCATAGACTTCTCATTAAAAAAGCTACAACTACAACTGTTATTACATTTTCTACACTCGCCTATTGTAAGACTTTCTCAAACATAGTTCAATAAATTATAACTTTTAAAAATTAAAAGAAAATGGTAAAATTATTAGGGCAACACAGTGGCTAAGTGGTTAGCACAGTTGCCTCATAGCTAGAACATGGAGAAAGCACTAGTAAACACAGAGAAAACATGCAAAACTCCACAAAGAAAAACATCCAGGGTCCGGTACTGAAACCAGCAACCTTCTTGCTCTGAGGCAACTATGCAAACCACTTAACTACTGTGCTGCTCCATTAAAAAACTATGGGATAAATAAAGTTAGTGATTCCTTATTTGTTCAAACACCAGACTTCAAACTACATTAATAAATTTAAATTCTTCTTCAAAAACATTGTTAAAAATAAACTTTTTTAAACATATTTGTCAACCAACCATATGCAAATAATTTAATGCAAATTTTCATTTAGAATTCTGATTATGTCTGTTTCTTCAACAGGACACTGCAGACGTGGACCATTCAGTTCCAGTGAAAAAAATCAAAACCAGTCATCAGCAGCTGTCGATTGACGATTTGTGCAGAAAATTTGCTGATTTATGTTTGTAGATTGTGTTTGTGTATTGTGCACATCTTAAATAAATATATTCCCATAAAAAATGTATGTAGTTTTGCTTGTTTAATTATAGAAAATGGAGGTGTGGAGAAACTAACTAATAAAGTGCTTTGGGTGTATTTCAATACACAGTAATTCATTCATCAAGGGCAACACAAATTATTTTTGGTATTTGTTATAGTAATATAATATTAATTTTTGTAATTTTGTTATAATGTTATAAATGTTATTGTATTGATTCTTTGCATGGGAGTTGGTTGCTCTAATAAGGAGGCTAAGGACCATGGCCTCTAGCGTCTGTCACTAGAGCACCTTTAGAGGTCAGAAGGAGTAAGTTTACTTGCATAGCACTTCGCTAGCTGGCCTCCGTTAAATTATAAAATGCTGGAATAGTTGGTGGTTCATTCTGCTGTGGTGACCCCTGATAAAAAGGGACAAAGCTAAAAGAAAATCAATGAACAAATAAAAATTCTCTATACATTTTTTTTTCATTAGATGCCTATAAGCAGATTAAAAGGTAAAAACACAATTTACACCAAGCTAAAGGACAAATTTGTAAGAGAATGTGTTGACATTTTTTATGTCATGCAGATTACTGGTGAGTTGCACCAATGAAGATCAATTTAATAATTTAACAATTTTATCCTTTGTAATTTCACAATAATCCTGGATTACCTATAGCCTAATCTTGATGCATCATTAGTTTAAACTCAGGTTTAGATTATTAAGAGATTAACTTGAAACTTGCTATTTGGGAGGTATATATACAGTTCATCCGGAAAGTATTCATGCTTCACTTCTTCCACATTTTTTTTATGTTACAGTCTTATTTCAAAATAGATTAAATTCATTTATTTCCTCAAAATTCTACACACAATACCCCATAATGACAATGTGAAAAATATATTTTTTAAATAGTTGGAAATGTATTAAAAATAAAAAAGCTGACAAATCACATGTACATCAGCAGCTTTTGCAGTAAAGCTCTAAATTAAACTCAGATAAATTCTGTTTCCTCTAATCTTTCTTGAAATGTTTCAGCAGCTTAATTGGAGTTCACCTGTGGTAAATTCAGTTGATTGGACATGATTTGAAAAGGCATACACCTGTCTAAAAGGTTCCAGGGTTGACAGTGCATGTCAAGGCACAAACCAAGCATAAAGACAAAGGAATTGTCTGTAGAACTCCAAGAGAGGATTGTCCCGAGGCACAAGGCTGGGGAAGTTTACAGAAAAACATCTGCTGCACTGAAAGTTCCAATGAGCACAGTGGCCTCCATCATCTGTAAGTGGAAGATGTTTGGAACCACCAGGCCTCTTCCTAGAGCTGGCCGGCCATCTAAGCTGAGTGATCAGGAGAGAAGGGCCTTAGTCAGGGAGGTGATCACTAACCCGATGGTCAACCTGTCTGAGCTCCAACGTTCTTCTGTGGAGAGAGAACCTTACAGAAGGACAACCATCTGTGCAGCAATCCACCAATCAGGCCTGTATGGTAGAGTGGCCAGACGGAAACCACTCCCCACCTGGAATTTGCTAAAAGGCATTTGAAAGACTCTCAAACCATTCATTCATTCATTTTTTTGTCAGCTTAGTCCCTTCATTAATCCAGGGTCGCCACAGCGGAATGAACCGCCAACTAATCCAGCAAGTTTTTACGCAGCGGATGCCCTTCCAGCTGCAACCCATCTCTGGGAAACATACACACACTCATACACTACGGACAATTTAGCCTACCCAATTCACCTGTACCACATGTCTTTGGACTGTGGGGGAAACCGGAGCACCCGGAGGAAACCCATGCAAACGCAGGGAGAACATGCAAACTCCACACAGAAACACAAACTGAGCCGAGGATCGAATCAGCGACCCAGCGACCTTCTTGCTGTGAGGCGAACATGCTACCCACTGCGCCGCCGACTCTCAAATCATAAGAAACACAATTCTCTGTTCTAATGAGACTAAAGTTGAACTCTTTGTGGTGAATGTAGACAATGATCCAAAGCACTCCACCAAAATATTAATGGAGTGGCTTCACAACAACTCGGTAAACGTCCTTAAGTGGCCCAGCCGCAGCCCAGACCTAAATCCTATTGAACATCTCTGGAGAGATCTGAAAATGGCTGTACACCGTCACCTCCCATCCAACCTGATAGAGCATGAGAAGTACTGCAAAGACAGATGTGACAAGCTTGTGGCATAATATTCAAAAAGACTTGAGACTGTAATTGCTGCCAAAGGTGCATTAACAAAGTATTTAGCAAAGGCTGTGAATACTTATGTACATGTGATTTTTCAGGTTTTTTATTTTTAACAAATTTGCAACAATTTAAAAAAATCTTTTCACATTGTCATTATGGGGTATTGTGTGTAGAATTTTTAGGAAATAAATGGATTTTAACCATTTTGAAATAAGGCTGTAACATAAATAAATGTGGAAAAAGTGAAGCGCTATGAATACTTTCCGGATACACTGTAAACTCAAAATCAATCTGGAAAAAAAGAGTTTCTCAAATAAAGGACTACAGCAAGAATATATAGCAAACATGCAAAAGATAATATGGTTACCTAAAACATAAGGTTTCAATCTATAATGGTGAGTGGTTCAATCATAATGTCTATAACATTCAATTCAGTTTAATGAATAATAATGTAATAATTACAGAAAAAGAGCTGAGAGTAACTAAAACACAAATATTCAATATAGGCCAATACATTTTGAATTAACTCTGATTTTTTCATTCTGACAATCGAACTGATTAATTTCAGTCAGCCAGCCCCAGCCTTGTGAGGTTTTCACTCATCATAGCACATTACATTGTTACACTTGAACGACTGTTTTACACCATATAGTAGCTTACTACTAAAATGGTGATACTACGGCTACCAAAAATAACATGCTTACTGTAGGCCTACTACACTCTTACTATAAGAAATCCATGGTCACTTGTTAGACCATACATCTGATCAAAACTATAAATACAAATTTGTCACCCCCCGAAATAGAAACACGCATGTTTTCTCTCAAATGTCCACGTTTACGTCACATTGCATGCGTCATTGCGTCATCAATCTCCGCCATATTGAATAAGGAAATAAGAGTGGAAGAGGAGGAACGTCCCGCCCGGATGCATGTAAACATCCACGTCAACAGAAAGGATATTAATGAAACGCTCATAAAGGCACGAGACAACACGTATATTGTCATTCTAGACTCTGACGGATGTATAATTAAAAGACTGCTGAACACGGTGGTGTTTTTGGCTCGTGCGAACAATGACTTCACTAACGCAGAGAAACTCGGGCCTGGTGCAGAGACGGACCGAGGCCTCGCGTAACGCCGCCGCCGCCGATAAGGAGAAGATCGACGGCGAGGATGAGTTCGAGTCTCGCCGCGGGGAGGAGGAGGACGAAGACAAGGGAGACTCCAAAGAGACACGGCTGACTTTGATGGAGGAAGTCTTGCTGCTCGGACTGAAGGATCGAGAGGTTTGACTTGTGTGGCTTTGTTAGTCGCCCGGAGCGTCAAGTTAACATGAGGACTAGATAAATCCTGTAATACCATAGAGATTAAGTGTGTTAAGAGCAGCTGTTCTTGGAGACCCTCGGTTTAGCATGCTATGAGGGTCCCAGTAACGTTAGGGGTTTATTATTGAGATAAATTTGTTTATTTACTCGCGTATTCGTTAAGTGACAACTTGTGACATGCGCCTTATACTGTTTACCATGGTAACTTACTTGAATATTCAGTCTGAAATCGCATGCAAGTATGACTTCAAAACAGCATTAGTACTATTTATTTGTTATAATGTTGTACTTTGATAGTCATTGGCTGCTTATATGTATTCACTGTTTACAATTGGCAAAATAATACCTTTTTCTGAAACTATATTAATAAGGAGAAAGTCCAAATGTGCAAATGTAAAACCAACTTTACCTCCGTGTCAACATTTTTTTTAAAATGACTAAAGGCAAAGATCTTTTAGAGTTAAAGTAAGTCTTCTGTCGTAATTGTGAATTATGTAACTCTTTACAACTTCCTTCCCGTTAAACAAATGCAAAACCGCATAGATACTTACATTAGGTTAAAGATCAAATCTATAGAGATGTTAAACTAAGCTAATGCAGTCTGGAACATATAGTACATTTTTTTTAAAAAGTTGTCTAATAGTAGTTTGCACAAAAATGCTAATTTTGTAATAATTTATGCACCCTTTTAAGTATTTTTCATCAAGTAAACACAAAATATGCTTTTAATAATGTTGGAAATGTTTGCTTCCACAATTTCTCTACTGTGGAAGTCTATGGCTACAATTTTTCAACATTGTTCAATAGAGATGTAGCGATTCACTTGACTCACAATTCGATACAATCACAATACTAATCTTAAGGGCGATTTGACCTAAAAGCAAAATTTCGAATAATTAAACATTTGAACTCTATTATGATTAATGAATGATTATTTTTTTTTATTTATTAAATTTTCTTTGACCTCATAGTTAGCTGCTGGCATATTACAAGTTAGAGATTTCTGAATGAAGGGTGTATTACTTGATTTTAAAATAATTGAAGGGAACACACGCTTTCTACTATCTATGATTATTTATTGGACATCAATGTTGACAACTGGAATTAAATCACACGTTGCCTGAAACTTTTTTTCTCATAAAAAAGCAAAAATAAATAACTTGTTCTTTTGGGGGGAAAAAAATCATATTAAAGGTAGAACATAAGCAGTATATCTTCTAAATAAAATAGCTGTTTTATATCTTGTAAATAATATTTAAACGGTGCACTTTTCTAATCTTCTGTAAACATATATTTTAATGTAAATAATAATTTTATTGTAATATATGCGATCTCAAGGCATCTCTGGTGCAGCTTCCAATCATCATCAATGTAGTGTAAATGTACATTTTTTGAGAGGTGCACGGGTAAAGGTAGGCGAGCTTGTGAAGGTTTCGCTGGATCCTATCCATGCTTTTGCCACAGAAGTATAAATCAGCCTTAACAGAGCGGGGTCACGTGACTCCACACGTGGTAGTAAAAGTTATTGAAAAAATTGACCTGGTAAAATTAGATTAATTATAGGTTCTGATTGTCCATTTCGATTACCTTTTCATTAATCGCCCAGCCCTAAGATCTGATATAATTTAGTTAAGATTTTTTAAACAAAATTCTCTCAAACTAGTTTAATGTAAATGCTGCAGGTCTTTTGCAAAATAATATATTTTCTGCCATAACTCAATTGCTATTTACAAATTATATTAACAAATTGCAAAAAAGGAATATCAGCATATCACTGTTTTCTGGCATAAGGTGAGGTTTTTGCACATTTACAATGTCTCCTGCTGGTGAGAAAACTCTTTCACTGGGGACTGAGATGGCTGGTGTGGAGAGGTACGCCTTTCCTAAACCATAGAGCAGTGTGTACAGAGGTAGTCAATAGACCCTTTGCTCCAAGCGACTGACCACTGACATAAATACTAATCATTATAAAATGACTAATTATACTGTAGGATAGAGACGGGAGTTCAACATGATTATGAAGGTCAATAATAAATATTACTTGTATAATTAATTAGTATCAGTGTGCACTTAAGAAGAATCTTGAGCATTTTTAAATATTCAACAATAATAAGCAAATTATTTAATGATTTGAAAAGGAGAGGGTAAAAATAATTTTAATACCTGGTTCTGTAACAGCACAACTTTCTTTTTCAGTCTGAAAAACGTCTTCACACTTTCATGATGAAAACACTGATGCACTGTGTGATCTCTGTAGCACTCGTCGAAGCAAGCGGATCTACAAATAGTTATTAATAGTTTTTTTTTTTTTTTTTTGCATATGGACGTCTGACTGTTGTTTATTTATTGTGCCAACGGTTGATGTGCATCATATTTGTTGTTCTGTTAGTGTAAGTAAACGTCTTTTTGCAGTATTTGCACACCTGCTAGTATATGGAAGCATGCCTTTTTTATATCAGCCATTATGACGGCAGTAAATGTTATCTGCGGATGTTATTTGCAGAATAGTAAATAACTCTTGTTTGTCTTGTGTAGGGTTACACATCATTCTGGAATGATTGCATATCGTCTGGTCTGAGAGGGTGTATGCTCATTGAGCTAGCCATAAGAGGACGCCTGCAACTGGAGGCTTCTGGCATGAGGAGAAAAAGCTTGCTGACCAGAAAGGTGCGTGTTTTGTTAACATAATTGCAGTGGTTATTGTGGCCATTTTGGTGATTTGATTCACATGTATGTGGTTTTGATTTGCTTTAATTCAGCATTGTTGAGTTGTCAATTATATTTCTTTTTGAAATGTTGCTTTTTGCAGACACGGAATCCATATTTAAATATAAAAGCTGATTTAAATGGCACCTATGGTGAAAAATCTACTTTTCAAGCTGTTTGGACAGACGTGTGTAGGTATAGTGTATAGACCATCATATTGGGGTGATATAAACACAGTCCTTTTTTTTCAATTTAACAATATAAATACGGTGGACCAATTGGAGCGTTTTTTTTTTTTTTTTTTAATCTACCGCAACTTGACATAGGAGTGCATACCCCAAGCCTACTAATATTGATTGACATGCGCGCATCACCATATCCTCAGCTTGTTGTTTCACGTCTGCCATTTTCTGCATGAGAGTCAAAGCGATGTCACTAAAGGAACACCCTTGCTCTACTTTTAGATATAAGGCTCATTGGGCTCAACACAAGATCAACATTCACCACATGATCGTTGTAACAGGGCTCGAAATGAACCCTTTTGCTTGGTAGCACCGGTGCTCCTAACTTTAAAAACTTAGGCTCATCAGCCAAAAGTTAGTCGCACCCACCAATTATGAGCACCGTTACTACAAGTTTTATACAAACAGATTTATTGCATTTGAAATCAACAGTAATCAAACTAACAAGCAAAAAAAAAAAAATAAAAATATATATATATATATATATATATATATATATATATATATATATATATATATATATATATATATATATATATATATGCAAGCGTGAGGAAAAGATGTCTTAACGAAATCCCGTTATCCAAAGAAAATACATTTTTATAATAGAACTGAGTGACCAAAAGATACACGGAGCGCTCACCAGCCCTGCACGCACTGCTTGAATGAATCTGTTAACGATATAACTCTGCTGTTCTCACAAGTGCTGTCTGATATTGCACTGATGCTTTTGACATACTGTACCTTATTATATGCATACATGTTAATAGCAATACCGGTCTTTATATGAGTAGCGATATTAATTGTGTACATGGTGTTCAATTTTACATATAGCTGCCCCTTGCACGGTAGATAGCATTTGGCGATTTATATGAAGGATTAAACAGAAGCTCTCGTGCTAAATGTGGCAAACAGTTACCTGAAAACTCCATCCCACTGACTTTTTATAGCGGACTTAAAGCCAACGGAAGTATTTTATCCACTCTTGGAAAAGTGTAGATGGTGGATTAACATTCAGCACATGATCACTAGTAAGATGTGTCATTATTTGTAAATGGGTGGTTTCTAAAACAAAATCTGCCAGTGTTATCTTCATTCTCATCTTAAGCACTTTAGTTTTTCGCGTAGTCATCCCAAGCAAGAAGGCAGTGATTGACAGCTGATATTAACCAATCATTCGCGTTCAGTGCTAGAGCAGTGGTGGGCCAATAAGAAGAGCGCGGAGGCGGGGCAAGCATTACAGACTTGGCTTTTACTGCAGCAAGTCGACATTACAACTGTTTTAAACCATTTGCGAGCGCTACGTTTCGCGTTTTAAGTGCAGACAAAGAGCTTAGAGATGCATTCTGCGTGTCTTCCGAATCCGCGCATGTGCTGAACATTTTGCAGTAAAAACTGGTCGCGCACAACAATTTTTAGCACTCGCACAAGTGCTCCCGAATATATTTTAAGGTCGCATAAATAAAATTTCAGGCGCATATGCGATCAAAATGGTCGCAATTTCGAGCACTGTTGTAATCAGAATTATTGTTTAATTTAGTTTGTTTGTAGGTAGGTTTGCAAATGTGTACTTTTCATTGCGTCTACCCTAAATTTCAGCCGTTTTTTTTCGCGGTCACAGATGCTCCCTGTTCTTAACTAGGTGCAGCTGGAAAGTGCAAGCCTTCTGTCAGAGTACACACAACCGTGCTCCCAGCCGGTGGCTGTTCGCGGCGCCCAGCCATGAATCGGGACACTTCATATTTCTGCCGTGCCACAGAGCGCCATTTGAATTCTTTTATTTTAAATAACATGCGAATGTGCGTGTCTGGTGTGCCATGTCGCGGCTCTGAGCGGCGCATCCGGTGCCTCAGTCAAAGTTAATCCAGTGTGCGTGGTTATTAGTCTCGGTGTACAAGCTCAGAACTTTAAAGAGCCCCTATTGTGGGTTTTCAAAAATGAGCTTCCATGTAGTGTGTAACACAGATCTAAGTGAAGTGAAATATCCAGCTAAAGCTTAAATCTGAAAGTGAACAGTTTTTAAAACTATTGATTCATCTAAAAAAAGAGTCGACTCGTAGTGGTTAGAATGAATCGTCTTTAGCCGTTTCGGCGTGACTACAAAACATGGTTGTTATGGGCGCAAACCCGAGAAATTGTAAACCTGCGCCCCGCCCACTAACACAGCCGCGAAGACAAACAGATCCCGAAGTCATAAGTCAAGAAGACACTGTGCTTACCTGGATATTATTGAAAGTGTGAGGGGAAATAATTGATTCAGCAGTCTACACGCTTACAGTGGGCGATTCGTTTGTTTGTTAAAGAAAGAATCAGAAAAGACTGGTGTATGAGACTTGTGAGAATAGGCAGACAATACACCAGGGGTGCATGCAAAATAAGGCCAATTTATCAGGCACAATGGCAGCCTGCTACACTGAAAAAAATTATTTAAAGATGATTACTTGAATTTACTCAATTTTTTTACGTTAAGTGTTTGTAAACAATTGTGTTGATTTTAAACAAACAAATTTAGTTGAACATTATTCAATTTAATTTGTTTGTATAAATTCAACACAAATAAATTGTTTGCAACAGTTCTGCATGCAACACGCTGGTAATCACTACAACCCCCTGGCTGGGGATGGGATCTTTGGGCAAAGCAGAGTACAGGTAAGCCCTGAGAACATATAACACTTCAAGCAAGAGGTGCCACAGCAATAAGTTACAGCTGAGCTACAGCTAAGAAGGGAGAAAAGCTCGGGCACAGAAATCCCGCTCAGTAAATGATGTGCATACTATTGGTTTCATTTTCACTGCTAAGTGCCGTTCAAAATTAAATGCATATTATAAGACCATGAAAGTGTTTTTTGACCTTGCATGCATATCAGTATGTTGTTGGAGACCCATATAACCGAAATATGACCCTTTTTCATGTATAATATGGGCTCTTTAAACTAGCAGTTGGCTGTAAAACTGTACAATGACACAAATGATTTTGTACTCTCTGCTTGGTCTGTGTCCGAGTCGTACATGTACGGCTGAATTCTGATCCTCTCACCCATGTAGCTTAGTTTCTCTCTGTCTGCCTCCTGTTACGTTGGGCAGGAAGTCTAAACTTATTTTCATGTGAAGCAACACACCCCTAAAACAGCGACCTGTGTACATGCCCACAACGTGACACTTTTGAACTCTTTATAATAAAAAAATCTGAACTGTGTTTTAAACTGAACCTAAACTGGCACACTCAGAAGAACCAAAAATATTAATATTAAATCTTTAAAAAGGGGTAAACTATGTGCCCTTTAAACTATCATACTCTATACATTAGGAAAAAAAAGTTAAATTGGTTTTAGTTTAAATCGCAACGCATCATCCCTGACTTATTTGCATTGGTTAAAGCGATTCATGTGCTATACTTTTGTTGTTTAGAAGTGACCAATATTTTATATGTAGATTGATTTGGCAGACTTTAGTCTAATCTGTTTATCAAGAACGATTTGTCATCGTTGCTGTATGACCATGACATGTCAGTGGTAAAGTTTGTCATCTATGTTAGAAAGTCATGCAAACACATTAATCTGGCTGCTTGAGTGGGCTAGTGAACAATAAAATTATAGCCCAATAACACTGTGTAAAATATGCATGTTGCTAATCTATTGATTGTTGACATTAAATGTGCCTTCTGTAGAAATTTAACTTCAACATGTTTATTTGTTGGAAACAGTAACTATAAAGGCAGTGTCATGATGGGTAAACTAAATGTATGCCAGTACATTTGTATGCTCAAATGCTGAGTTTTTCTTTTAGCAGAGTGTGGTACACTTTACTTTTTAAAAAAATGTTTTTAATTTTTTTTTTTACTTTTTTATTATAACTGATTTAATGCTTTAAAGGGAAATCTTTGATTGTAATGTTCTGTTATTTGTTTAGCTAACTATAAAAGGTAAAGCTTTCCAAAACAAATAGCAAATCTGCATTACAATAATAGTAGCTTGTGAGGGAGTGGTAATAACACAGTTTTTTATTAGCTAGATTGAAAAATTGAGCAAAGCTTGACGGTTAAATAAAAAGGGTATTTTTATGTTTCATCATATTGCATCTAATCACATTGTGTTGAATCAAATCGAAATCAGATTGTACTTGATCATGATTGGGTGAATCATATTGTATGCAATTGGTAGCTGCTTCATATTTATCTTTATTGTACTGTATCTTTGGCTATGCATCAAGATGCATATTGCATTGGTCTCAGTTCTGAGATGCTCATCCTTAATAGGGTTCGGGTGATAGATGATGCCATCGTCCATCGCCAATGGCCAATAGACAACTAGACACAGACACAAGTGGTGCTCACTGCAGAGCCGCGCACACACACACACACACACACACACACACACACACACACACACACACACAGCCACGCGCATCTCTTAGAGCTCCAGAGACAGAGAGTACTCCACGTCTTTATCAAGATTGTACCCAGCATAGGGTCTCACTTGGTTGTTAAACGTGATATTCTGACATCCTAAGTCTCCCGGAAGTTTCGGGAGTCTCTATGCATTTGCCAAACTTACAATGCCTGGCTACGAACAAGTGATAACAAATAGATATCATACGATGCCAAATTTCTCAACATCGCCCAACCCTTATCCTTAATGTTCATGAAATGCACATTTACATTAACAGTAGAGTTTGTTTAACATGGAATTACAAACACTGAAAGAGGATATCTTAAATTTGCATCTATAATGCTCACATGTTTGGCAAGTCCGGCAGTTCAACTTTTATTTATATAGCATCATCACTTATGTATGTAACACTTTGTACAGTAGATTGCAGCTTTGCTGTATTAGAAATGCAGAACAGTGTTGCTTTCAAGTACAATTTCACTTCCATAAAGCAGCTTATTAGTATTTCTTTTTTCTCACAAACACCTGTCTTTTCACAGACTAATCAAATGAAAGGAACCAGAAAAGATTTCCTTGTCAAAAAAGTCGGAACGTCAATCACACCTACCGATCATATTTCAGGGTGTTGACTAGCCAAAGCAATCTTTTTAAAAAACCTCTGCTTAGGCCGGCAAACACTGAATTGTCAAAGTGCTGTGAACTCTGATTTGGCCTGATTTTCTCACTTCATTTTGTTTATTGATTTCACTTAAATTCCACAATTAAGGTTAAATGCAAAATCAACTAAAGTGAATTGTTTGCTAATTTTGTCACATATTTTGACATTTCAACAAAGTCTGAGTAGGAAAATTAATATGCTAATAGACTAATAGCTAATAACTAATAGATCACAACTGTAAAGGTATATGGGTGAAAGTATAACTAAACTTTATCAGCTGTGTCTCATATTTGATACATATCAGCAAAATGATATCCTTTTGTATTATGGTCACACTTGAGTTTGAGCATGCAAATTTCTGTTGTACGGCCCAGTGAAAAGGGGCAGGATTAATCAAGATGTTTAGACATGTGAAAAAGCGAGCGATTGGTCCATTTTTTTACATTTATGTCCACACGAGTCATGTTTTGATCTTTGATTGGTACCATGCAGTCATGTGATGCTATTTCGCAGGTCAGGGTTCACCCAAGTGGGAAGCCAATACGGAAGTAACTGAAACTGCAATTCATCAAAATTCCGCTAGTCCTGGCTCCATAATCGATCAAATTTCAATTGAGCCCACTGTTAGAATGGCCAACTTTACAGCAAAAAAAACGGTGTTTACAGCCTGGTACAAAACGATTTTGGTTCATACAGGTAATATTACCCTTTATGACAACTGTGAGGGAGGTGAATTTTTTTCATCCGTTTCCTTTATATTAGGCTATATTTAGTTTGCATAATTAAGAGCTTGGCCACTTAAGTGACAGCTAGGTCTCGCTGGTCGTCATCACTTCACCTCAGCTGACTCCGGCAGATTAGCCACTGAACTCGGCATATACATCATATTTTTGTGTTGTTTTATGTGGCTTTACACAGTCAGTTGCCTTTTGGACTTACAATTTTCAGATGATATAGTGTACAGCCAAGCACATGTGGTCAGAATACAAACAAGTCACAGGTAATAAAGTATTAAGCGTTTTCCCAAAGTGGCGTCTGTCTAAGCCAGTTCCAAGCAAAATGCCAGCAGGTGTCTGTAGCTCTGCTCATTCTCTGCCTCTTTGCCCTTGTTTGGTATCCTGCTGTGGGTGCGATGACACGTGAACAAAATGGCGAGGGTTGGCCACTCCTGCTTGTGGCTTCTTTTGCAGTGTTCAGAAACCTATGGGTGACGTCACGCGTACTACGTCCATATATTTTTTCAGTCTATCGGTTCACCAAGCCTCAACTTTGCCACGCAGTGAACTGTGAAACTTTTCGCACAAGCTTGCGTTTCTGGTCTGACGCATTCGTGTACATATGAATAGAGATCTATGGGCCGAAAAAAAAGTCCAGTGTGACTGCGGCTTTAGTGGGACAAATTATTGTGTGGTTCTTGTAATCAAATTGTTGAACTTCGCTCTTTCAGCAGAAGCAAACATCTACGATAGACCTGTGTAATCAACGGCAACACAGTAAATCATATGTGAGATCCAGAACTCAGCTGCTGGACACAAGCAGAAGTGAATATTTCTTTATAGGCCTTAAGTGGGCATTTATTAACACATTAGAGCTAATAAGAAACATAAGAAAGCAATATAACAATACTGATAAACTTGTGCTGTATATTGCTAGAAACAGAATGTGTTTTCTTACTAGGTCTTCATTGTTCTTGGATAGTCTTGGCTAGTATTCACATAAATGATTTGTGTTCAACAAAACAAAAAGCAATCAAGCAAAAAGACAGTGCATAGATTATCTACTGTTTGTATTCTTATTGTAATTTGGTTCTGTTATTGTTTTTTTTTTGTGTAAAATAAGCAAGCTTCATGTATTTAGTTTTCTTAGTGTTGTGTATATTTATTGTGCATGCAGCAAAATGCATGATGTGTTACATTTGATATAGTAAATGTTTTTGTTATTGGAGATGTTCTGCAAATGTGTGCTGTTTAGATCACTAATATAACATTAAATTTGGATCTTGACTCTTTGAACCTGTTTTTTCTCTTCAGGTATTGTGTAAATCGGATGCCCCAACAGGAGACATGCTGCTGGATGAGGCACTGAAACATGTTAAAGAAACTCAACCTCCAGAGACAGTCCAGAGCTGGGTTGAGTTGTTAAGTGGTGAGTTATCAACATGCCTGACATACATGTAGATTATTTTTGTTTTTCTAAGGGAGTTTACATTTTCAAATCTGAATAAGGTTTTTATTTTGAAAAGTATCCCAATTCAGGATCTTCACAGTTTGTTCAAAGTTTTTTGAGACTGTGCTCGCTGCAGAGCCATTTGAGCAGAGCTGAGCTCCAGCGAGGGGGAACATGAGCTCTCACTCATCCTCCTATAAGCTGTTTTAATGCGTACACCAACCCCACCCCTAACCCTACCCCCAGTGACATCACTTGTAGATGAAGTGCAAGAAAGGAGGAGCGAGAGTTCAAGCTCCCCCTCGCTGGAGCTCAGCTCTGCCCAAATCGCTCTGCAGCAAGCACCACTTGAGTTTTTTAGTTGTTTTGGCAAGTTTGGATGTGGATGTGTTTGCATTCATTTTACTTTGTGATCTGATGCTTTCAAAGTGAACACAGTATTTAAGGAAGACCTAAAATGTGATGCTTGTTTTATCCACCGAAAAGAAACCGAAATGTAATAAGTTGGCAGCAAATGCTAAAATAGTGGTAAAATTAATGAACATTTTGTACTTTTGCTACTGGACCCATGCACCCAGCAATTGGACGAGCTAGAAAATTAAGATGAATATTTGGCATTTTACAAAACTAGAGTACAATTTTGATGTCAAGTTGACTTTTAAGGTTTTTATTGCAATAAAAGATTCTGCACTTGATTTAAAACATGCTACAAACAATTTGTGTTGTCACGATACTAGAATTTCTGTAACAATAGGTACTGAAATGTTGTTTTTTAATTGAATGTTTTAAAATGTCAATATCATTTGGTACTGAAATTCCAGTATTGTGACAACACTATAAACAATAGTATTGTTAAAAGCCAGTAGAATATCTAGAACAGGGGAGCCCAAGCTCAGTTCTTGTGGGCTGGTGTCAGGCAGATTGTAGCTTCAATCACAATTAAACACACATAAACCAGCTAATCAAGCTCTGTCTGAGATACTAAAAACTTCTTGGCAGCTGTGTTGAGGCAAATTGAAGCTGAACTACACAGGACTACCTCCAGGACAGAGTTTGGGCACCCCTGATCTAGAAGAACATGACTGGTTTATTTTATATTTTGGTTTGGTTTTTTACATGTTGACTTCATTTTCATTTTAAAATAACTGTTATTTTGCAGGTGAAACTTGGAATCCGTTGAAGCTGCACTACCAGTTACGAAACGTGCGCGAGCGCTTGGCTAAGAACTTGGTGGAGAAGGGTGTCCTTACCACAGAGAAGCAAAACTTCCTGCTCTTCGACATGACCACCCACCCGCTCACCAACAACACCGTCAAGCAGCGGCTGGTGCGCAAGGTCCAGGAGGCCGTTCTAGAGAAATGGGTGAACGAGCCCCAGCGGATGGATAAGCGTATACTAGCGCTGCTGTTCCTGGCACATTCCTCTGACGTCCTGGAGAACGCCTTCGCTCCTCTACTCGACGACCAGTACGATCTGGCCATGAAGAGGGTGCGGATGCTGCTGGATCTGGAACCTGAGGTCGAAGCTGCCAAGTCGGGCGCCAACGAGCTGCTGTGGGCTGTGGTGGCCGCTTTCACCAAATGAGCCTCCAGAGGAGAGAGAAAGAGACTCAACTTTGTGCTCATGGCATTGGACTCAGACCACTGGTCCCAAGCTT